TTTAATATTGTCAAGGTCAAGGTGTATTACTGGTTGCATAACCGCAACGTGCATTGAGGAACCTGGCGAATTCGATAGAAAGTAAAAGAAAATTACAGAATTCTTTAGAAAATTCCAGAAACTATCGCCAGGGGGTATATAAGGCCCGCGCTTTGACAGTTGGACCAGTCTGAAGTCTGAAGTTTGCTAATACCGCGAAATACCGTTAGAGTAATAATAGTTGCATAAATTGTGTTGTAAATAGTATAAGTTGTGTATTTTATCGTGAGTTTAAATAGTGGACCCACGGAATCCGTAACAATATTATTTTCAAATGTACAGGGTGTGTCAGAACTAAGATCTATACCAAAGTTATATTTTTTCTTATGGAACACCCGGTATTTTATATCATTTTTGGATTCTTGGGCATAAAATAAGGCATTTATTATAAGGGTTTAATATGTCTAAAAGCTTTGGTTTTTGAGATATTTAAAGATATTTAAATGTGCATGCTATAATAAAAAGGTTTGTCAACACCTTGTACCTTACTTTTCAGAATTAATTCCTGTGCTGACTTTCAAGCTAGAGAAATAAACTTTACTAAAAAACTTGATTGCTTCCTTAAATGTATACAGGGGTATCAAAAATTGCTGGTCTATTTAAACTATTTATTTTACATAAAACTTCGTCATTTCAAATGCAACACTATGTATTTTTTTAAACAAATCGAAGCAGATTTAAATACTTTTTGAAACTATATTAGGGTCTCTTATACCTATCGGGCTCAGATTTTCAATAAAACTGTAATCAAGATGGCTGGTGTCCCCATGGCAATTTTCTAGTGACATTTATGCATATGTTACTAGCATAGATAAATGAAACAAGTTTAGATTGGAAAGTGCCCATAACGACAATGTAAACACTATTTGGCGCTTATCTTGCAACGGTCGCGACCCAAAACTTTTGAAAATTTCGGAGCGGTTCGGCTTTTTCCGGAATTATATCGTCAAATATTGTTTATTCAAATTTATTATTATTTTCGTTTAATTTTAGAAATAAAATACAATGTGTTGCATACAAGAAACTTTATTTTATATAAGGACGCATGTATGAAATACCTAAGAAACATTGGAAACCGACGTTATGCCACGATACATGATGGTTTTTGCATGCAGTTCACAGTTCACAGCACAGCTTTTTAAGTTTTTAATGCCACTTTTTCACATTTATCACCGGTTGGAGTAAATAAAACTTGAATTAAACTCACAAGATAGCAATATTACTTTGAAAATGGACGCTATAAACACTTTTCGGAATTTCTTTAATGAGAGCGGTTTAGATTTTGAAAGATTATTATGATTTTTGAAGATTCTGACTTTGACAAGAGAAAATTATTTCTGTTTTTGTTTGCCGTTGTTCTTAGCGACCGCTATAACAGCGCCAGATCGCGTATAACGGTCGCGACCCAAAATAATTTTGCGACCTAAAATTTTTACGGGCTTTCCTATCTAAACTTGTTGCATTTATCTATGGTTACTAGTGATTTTATTTTGTGAGGACAATTATTGCTTGTTGGCCTGAAGGGTTTATGCTTAAATATATCCAAATAGAAATCTTCCTGATAAGCATTTCTTTGAAGAACTACTTTTCCTATTTCGCAGAGCTGATAGTGTGGTATAGAAAAAACTTATTAGGCAGAAACCTGTCGTTGGAAATGAAGAAAATGAATTTGCCTTAATTGGTTCTTTTATAAAAAAATCCAATATATCTACAAGTCATCATAGTGTAAATGAAAGAACTAGGTACTTCTTTATTTTTCTTGACAAAATAATAAATGCTTACTTTATTAAACTATTGTAGGTAAATTAAATAAAAGTAAACTGTTATAAATTTAAATAAAGTCCATAAACTAATGTCGGTTTTGAAAATAGCTACTAACTGTCACTAGAAAATTGCCATGGCAACACCAGCCATCTTGATTAAAATTATATTGAAAAATCGCTTTTTATTCAAAATCTGAGCCAGATAGGTATAGAAAACCCTAATATAGTTTGAAAGAGCATTTAAATCTGCTTCGACTTATTTAAAAAGATACATAGTGTTGCATTTGAAATAACGAAGTTTTTAGATAAAATAAATATTTAAAATATACCAGCAATTTTTGATACCCCTGTATACATTTAAAAAAGCAATCAATTTTTTTAGTAAAGTTTATTTCTCTGGCTTGAAAGTCAGCACCAGAATTAATTCTGAAAAGTAATGTACAGGGTGGGTCAAATTCGACGCTTTTAAATGGAAACACCCTTTTCTATAGGGGATAGAGAAAAACTAATATCGGTGTCTGGAGCTCATTTTTTGTCAAAAACATGATGGTGAAAACCGCATGTCGATATCTGTTACCGTTTCGGAGTTACGGGGTGTTTTTCAAAAATATGCATTTTTAACAAATCGCTGTAACTTTTTTGCTATGGAAAATTTTGTATTTTTATGAAAACATTTCCAAAGCATCTTTTTACGTAGAATTTAATAGTTTAGTATAATATTTTTAAAATTAGTAATTTAAGAATTATCGACAGAAAATTTGATTTTTTATATGGGACACCCTGTATATTTTTAATTTATTGAAAAGAATTTAAAATTACCTTTCCAAAAATATAACACACTTGATATTTTGCTCGATTCCTTTTCGAGATATAGAGTATATAAAAATTTGCCCGCTTTATTAAGTAGGCTTTGAACGGCACCGGCTGTAATGCAAAAAAATTCTAGCTGTGAGCATCAGTTAAAACGAAAATAATATTTGCTATGAGAGATGCAGAATTTTATAACAATTTAAAATATATTTAACCAACATCAACAAATTTAAACTATATCTAATAACAATAAAAATAAATAGCAAACCAAGACATGAGATTCTGCTACAGGTGTTCGACATATCGACCGTCTTCTGTTATGGACAGACGGGGCAGTTTTTGGACATTTCTCGCGGAATTCATTAACACAGTGGGGGTGAAAGATACCCTCTCATAACTGCTAAGTATTTCTAATTATTGTCTAGATTATACGGAATAAGGAACCTTTATTCTTCCGCGAATATATCCATAGGATTAGATCCGTGGGCACTAAATCAGGCGGCCCCAACGGCCTACAGCTGGGATCTTGGTTAGCTATTCAATTATTCTTGAAATTGGCTGCAAAAATTTGCTGATAACTTCAGCTTTCAGAGGCGGTGCGTCGTCTTGCGGGAAAAATATGTTTTCAAGTTCCATTAAGGGCATATCATCAATAAGCGGTCCAAAGCCTACTAGTTAAAAGCGGCAAACTTTTAAAAATTCTTTATTTCGAAGGGGATTATAACAAAATATTAAGTGTGCTATATTTTTGGAAAGGTAATTTTAAATTCTTTTCAGTTAATTAAAAATATAGAGGGTGTCCCAAATAAAAAATCAATTTTTCTGTGGATAACTCTTAAATTATTAATTTTAAAAAAATTATATTTAAACCATTAAATTCTACGTAAAAAGGTGCTTTGGAAATGTTTTCATAGAAATACAAAATTTTCCATAGCAAAAAAGTTACAGCGATTTGTTAAAAATGCACATTTTTGAAAAACACCCCGTAACTCCGAAACGGTAACAGATATTGATGTGCGGTTTTCACCGTCATGTTTTTGATGAAAATTGAGCTCCAGACACCGATATTAGTTTTCGTCTATCTCCTATAGAAGAGGGTGTTTCCATTTAAATGCGTCGAATTTGACCCACCCTGTACAAGGTGTTGACAAACCTTTTTATTATAGCATGCATATTTAAATATCTTTAAATATCTCAAAAACCAAAGCTTTTAGACATATTAAATCCTTATACTTATAATAAATGCCTTATTTTATGTCCAAGAATCCAAAAATGAAATAAAATACCGGGTGTTCCATAATAAAAAATAAAACTTTGGTATGTGTCTTAGTTCTGGCACATCCTATACGTTTCAAAATAATTTTAAATTATGCACATTGCCTCTCTACATATACCCATAAAATATTTTGTTTCTACATCTTTCCGTTTTCGTATAATCAACCGAGGCGAATGAGGTGCGCCACCCTGTATATCAAGATATATTATTTGTGGCTAGATATATATCCAATATATTCGCTATCGAGTCCACTACCGAATCCTCTCACTCTTTTTTGAACCACACTGTAAAAGTAGAAATATTTTCCTCAAATACATCCTAGTACATACATACTTTAGGGTACTTGAACAAAAAATTTCCAAGTTATACAGGGTGAGTCTTAAATAAATGCAAATATTTTCAGGGCTGGTAGATCCCGATAAAAGAAACATATTTTCTCTTTGCCGTTTTTCAAATAACTCGAAAATAACTGAGTTATTTAACTTTGAAAATTAAAAAAAAGATTTTTGGTTAAATTTTGAGAACCAACCAATGGATCTTTTCTGGGTTTTCTTTTTTGGAGATTTAATATACTACCTATGTTGCCCATAATGTTCTTAACTTAAAATTAAAAAATCTTCAATTTTTTTGCCAAAAAACACTCATAGGCGTTTTCCAGGGATCGAAATATACTACCCCTAAAAATATTTGCACTTATTTAAGACCCTGTATGTCGGGTATATGTCCGAGATATGATGTAATATATTTATACCGTATGGTCGAAAAAAAACGGCGGCTAATTGGCTTGGAAATGAACATTGATGACGTTCCCTATATAATTTTACCCTATATAAAAACAGTGATCTTCATTTCATAGCCAACGCTGACGCAGTTTTTTTTTTTCGAACAAATGGTATAAACATCATATTACATTTTATTTTTTACTAAATTTAGTAAATCAAATGAAAAAAAACTGCAAGGGATGAACTGTAAATGTCTGCCCTATTTTTGGTGCTTTTTACGTTTTGATGTAAAATGTACTAAATATAAATAATAATTAATAATGTCCACATTTCTACAATTTTTCTTTGCATGCTGTTGTATAAAAAATATTGTAATTTTTTTGTTAATAGATGTATCATCTGTAAGAGCAGAGCAACTATCGAGACTTCAAGATGACATAGCCAAACTAAGAGATGAAAACAATTGGTTGCGTCAACAAAAAGATAGATTGGATTCATTATTGGAAGGCCAGGATACTTTCCAAGGACAAATAGTGCATTTGGCTAATAATCCTCTTTCTGAATGTACTACCCAAAATGCAATCTTGATTGAACAATTACAGCAAGAAAACATTAAACTAAAAAACAAATTGAAGAAAATGGAAGAGGGAATTGAAACAAGTTCAATTGGTAAGTGAGGGGTTACGGGTTACTATTTTTCTTCAAACATACTTTACAATAACCCTTTTTATTTAGGTGACATATCAATATGCCCAAAAGAAGTTCAGTCATTACGAGAACAAATAAAGAACAATGAAAAACAAAGTCAAAGACTTAAAGATTACTTCAAGTCTTCCATGCAAGACTTTAGAAACATTATTTATATGCTGTTTGGATATAAAATTGATAAACCTTCAAATTCGAACATATATAAATTAAGAAGTATGTATGCTCAACAAGCCGAAGATCAGCTTTACTTTGAAGTTAATCCAGACGGGGACTTGAACTTGCTTGAAAACGAATTTAGTGCCACTTTGGGTCCCATGATAGATTTACATTTGATTCACCAAAATTCTATACCAGTCTTTTTGAGTGCTATCACAATGGACTTATTTAATCAGAGAACTATAACTAAAGCCTTCTAATTTACTTAAGTTTTTTTTTGAAATGTGCAAATTTCAGTGCATCATTTTTTTTGTCATCAGTTGTTCTGTCATAATAAACATAGTATAATAATGACTTTTTTATTTTTAATAAAACAACAATTTTATTGAAAAATTATCTTTTAAGAGCTTTTTTCATCCTAATTTGTTTCCTTTTTTTCATACCACCCAACTTCTTTTTGAACATTTTATTCTTCCTTTCGTTATTTTTAATCTTTGCTTTAACTATTCCTTTCAGTTCTCTTCTAATCTTAATAAATTCTTTATTGTCAGTCCGGATTTTCTCTAAAAAGTCTACACCTTCTAAAAATTAAAATATTTTAATATGTTTTCTACCTATTGCCCTTGTTACCACCTTGGAATCTAAAATCATCATTTGTGAAGAAAAGTGGTTCAGTCCAAAACACTGATTGGCTGGATTTATTAACACTAAAAATTTCTGGCTGTATCTGATCAGATTGAATCTTTGACTCATCTTTATGTGGAATATCTTCATTTTCATCTTCTTCATCAGTAGAGTCATATTTGAAGGGATTTTTTGTTTTCAATAAATTATTTGAGCTTAATTTCACTTCAGTACTATTTGTATTTGTATCTTTATCAGTATTATTGTCACCAAATGTGCTAAGTAAACTAAATGTTTGCTTATCTTGAAGAGTTTCCTTTAAATTATCAGTTACTTTATAAAACACATCTTTAGAGACTTCAGGCTTTTTACTATTTTCTGCCTCTTCCATCTGTTTCGTTTTCTGTTTTTTACAAGAAATATCTTGTTTAGGTTGTTTCACTTCTAAATTTATATAGTCCTCTTGTGTTGCATTAAACCTTCTCATAACTTTTTTTTCTATTCTAAAAGTAACATAATAAGATTCTAAAAATAATTATTATAATATACTGTAAGTAAGTACCTGTTATAATTCACATCCTGTCCCTTTTTAACTGATTTCCCGATAATATTTTCTAATATTTGCAACTGGGTATTTCTTTCGTATTCTAAAGTCTTTTCAGAGATATTTTCAGTCTCCATTAGATCTTTAGGTTTCATTTGGTTTGATTCTTTAGGTTCAGCTGTATTGTGCTCAATAAACCTTTCATCTAATGTAAATCTTTTGTCATTTTGATATCTTGATTGCAATTCTAAAAGCTGAAAGAAAAAATAATCAACTACTTGATCATTAGCTGTTGATAGTTCCTTACTTTTTGACCTTCTTTTCCTTGAAACTGCTCTTTAATTTTAAAATTCTCTAAAAAACTTTCATCTTCGTTATCAGAATCATATTGAAATAAAGGTTTTGTCTCTATGCCAGATGAAAAGCTATTGATATTTTTGTTTTCACCATCAAAAATAATTTTTTTATTAGACCTATTATCCTAAAAAACGCCATGTGCATATATTCCATAAAAAAATGTATTTGCTTACCACACTTCGTAATGCTTCTCTAATAAGGTTTTGTTGATTATTATAACATTTCTTCATATTCTGTAAAGATTGCAGTCTTTTTATATTAGATTTGCTTTCATTAATAATAATCTTATTAACGGGTTCTTCATTTGCATAGTTTTTCCCTACAGAAGGTATTTTTAAGTGATTTTTATCAACATATTTGTTTTTATTATTTTTGATAACTAAATCAGGAACACTTGGTAAATCACTAATTTGTACAAATTTCTTGTCAGTTACATTTTCTCGAGACTTTGTATTTTCTTGCATTTTATCTAATTCAGAATCACTAGAGTTATCTTTAAATTTAAACTTTTTGTTCTCTATTCTACTCGAACCATTAAATTTTATATTAGTCTTAGATTCTTGCAAAGATATATTCTCAACTTTTGTAGTATTTTTAGTTCGATTTTCTTCACGTTCTTTTTTTAAACGGTCTAAAAAACTTTCCCTAGCAATTTCTAGATGGAGATAACCGCCATCCCATTGTTTGTTTGATGTATCTCTAAAACCTACGACATTTTATGTAATACAAGTAAAAACCTACTAAACAGTTATAGCATACATTTATTTAATTGAGAATGGTCTGTTGAAAGATTAATATATGCAAAATATAAGGATTTATTTTTTGGCCCCAATTCTTTGCGTTTCTTAATTTCGATCGAAGAAACTTCACCATAATTACTAAAATATCCTCTTAACTCATTTTCGCTCAATTTTTCTGGTAAGTCACTTATAAAAATTCGTTTATTTTCATCCATTTTTACTATACTCTAAGATCTTAAACTAGTTTATATTCAAAATACGGTGGCAATAAACACTTATATTTAAAGGCTCTATACTGAGTATGTATTCCTATAAATCACTAAAAAAGGTGACATAAATCATGTAGATCTCGTGTTCTAAATATAAGTCACTCATAAATCAGTAATTCTTTGATTAAATAATTTCTTTTATGCATGAATATTATCTTAACGAGGTTGAAAACATGTTGAAAATGAGAAAGTTTTTGTAGGTTGGACTGGATTTGATCAGAAAATCTTCTTTTTATTTTTAATTTTTTTTTCTAATTATTTAAAGGCCTAAGCTACAAGGACTATCCGGCCTGGTAATAGGGTTAAAGCTTAAAGCTAAAGTCCCTAGATATATAAAGTACCGCAATTGATTTGTTCAATGCAAGGATATATAGAATAAGGATATTCGACTGGCCCAAAAAAAACGTGCCGTATTTTGTCGAGGAAGACGATTTCGTCACGACCAATGGCCGTCGAGTATTTGAAATTGAAAACATATAAATTGACGGTAACCTATGTTTTTGAACTCATTTCATGACAAATGTGATTGAGAATTTTAATTGTAATTTATACGATACAAAATCCAAACGTTTTTTGAATAAATAATTAAATTTTAAAGTTATTTCCTAGAGGTTTGGTTTGGCCTTCTATATTCTGGTATTTGTCTACTAATAATAATCATCTTATATCCGCAAGTTTTGTATCTGAAGCCGCAAAGAAATTTCGGTCTATAGTGAGAAAAATGTTATATTTTTTTATACAAAATGTATAAACTATTTAAACTAAATTTCTTATTTCAGATGTTCTAAATGTGAGTGCTTAAATGTCAATAAAAATATAACTGAAAATATTTCAAGTCTTATACCCTTTGCCCTTTGGAAAGTAACCAAATATTGAAGAAAGTGTTATGCCTTCACAGAATTTAAATCGGCATTAGAAATAGATTTCCTTGATTTAGTAATGATATTGCTCATAGAAATTGATAAATAACTATTTTATATTTTTTTTTTTAAAAGAGATTTTAAGTACAAGTTTTTTAAAATTGATAATTTATGTAAGTATTATGTATAACACAGCTATATATATTTTTAAGGACATAAGAAATTAAAATTTCAAGTGCCAATATTGATTTTTTTTCCCAAGTTTTATTTCAAATATATTGAATTAATATGGAAACAAAAGTTCAAATAAATATTTGTTTGAAAGCCTGTCAGAAGAGTAGGATTAGAGACAAAGTATTAAGGTAACATAATATATTTGCATAAAGTTTTAATAACATTTTTTTTTTTTTTTTTTTTTTTTATTGTTTATGTTTTTAATTAAAATTTAGTTGCAATTTATTTCATATTCTAATATTTTTGAGAAAATTTTACTTAGATACATACCTGAATATTATGCTGCTTTTTTATTTTAAAGTGTGCCGACTGTGCTGTTATTTTTATACTAGTAATATTGTATAGGGTGATTGCGCCGGTTTTCGACCAGTTAACAGAAAAATGAACTTTGAAATGTCATAACTCAAGTAAGAATGCGTAAGTAGTTAATACAAATAAATGAATAAACTCTTATATGTTTCTGAATTAACCATTATTTTTCCAGAGAAGATAAATAGCTGTTATAAAAATATTAATAATAGAACCAAAAGGCAAAAAATAATGGCATTTTACCCTAATTTCGAACCACCAAATATCCCCTCAAGCCGACCAGGCAAGAGCCAGTTTTCGACGGGGAATAACCGTTTTTCGATAGCTTACACTGGTTTTCGACCACACTATAAAATAGGTAGTTTTATACAAAAAATAATACAAATAAACAAGAAATTTAATGTAAACAACAGACAACATTTATGGTGATTAAAATTTCCAGAAAATCTCAAACGGGTAACAAATATTATTTTATAATATTATTTCTACTTATTGGCTAACAGTTTAGTCTTCAAATTTCAAAAATAAACAATGAAACATTAAGAAACTAAAAATATTAAACATTTTTAAGCCAAAGTATCGCAAAGGTTTAGCAATACAAAAGTGAAAACAAGAAAACTAAGCACATGCATAGCACGCATAATCTTCGGTTGCAACCTCGTCATAACTGAGGCCAATAAAATTAGTGCACCGGAGGTGAAACCACCTAGCGCAGAGGTCACATCCAATATTTTTTTCCTCATCCTCTTCAACATCACTTATTAGTTCTTCGTCACAAGCATCACATTTAATAGTCTTTTTTGGTGTTTTCCTGCTCTCTACTGGCAAATGATTTTCATTGGTCAATGGCTTTTTTTATTTGTTCAACTCTTCACCTTCTCCTTTTTCTTGGCTAGCGCTCGCTCTTTTTCTTTCTTTTTATCAACTCAGCTTTCTTTTACCTTTTTCTTTCTTTTTTTACTTTGTGTGCCCTCCAGGCTTGACTACTTATTGCTCTCGGCATTTTGTCTTTTTCTTTGAAACTTTTAGTAGAAATGTCGGGAGGATTTTTGTACTTTAAAATATTTTCAATGGACACACTTAATGGTACGTAACATATCTTATTGCTTGTTTTTTTTTCTGTATCGCCGCTTACTTCACTACTATTTTTTTCAGGTACATTTATTTCTTGGGTATCGCTCTTATTATCACAGTTCGTTTTAACGGATCTGTCTTCTACTTCTCTCTCGTTTTGTTCAAGTTCTTCTGTATTGCTTAATATTTTTATTTTACATTCATTATTTAGGGTACTACTTTTCAAATTTAGTTTTAATTTCTTGCTCTGACTCTTCTTTTCGGTTATTAAAATCCAATTTATCTGGCTCAACGTCAAATTCAGTCTGGTCTGAGTCTATTTTATTTCTTTGGGATTCTGGCTCTGCTTCTTTATTTGCATTTTCCAATTTATCCGATTCACTATTAGATTCCGTCTTATTGTTCGCTATTGGGTCTGTGTCCTTTATCTGGTATTCTGGTGGTGTTGCTTCACTCACATTTTCAGGTATGATGTCCTCCTGGTTCGCATTATTAGAATCATCAATGTTGCTTAATACATTGCACTCATTGTTCATATCGTCTTCATTATTGTTAATTTCTTCTTCCTGAATTGGCAAGCTTGAGATTTGGAATGATGGAAGTTCTTCTTCGTCATAGTGGTCATAGGGATTTTCATTACTTGCTTTTTCATTCACTTCCTCTGGTTCTGTAATAATTATTTCATTTTCTTCCATTTCTTGCATTTCATAATCCCTCAAAATTATTTGTGGGTTATGGTCAATTTCAAAGATATCCATTGGGAGCACAGCACCTACTAACAAATCGCCAGGTTGCTCTTTGTCTTTTTCTAAATTGGAAATTGTTTCAACTATAAAATCTACATTTATTCCATTTTCCGTTAGTTTTTCCCTTATCGTTTCAACAACTTTTTTCGCCGTAAGTACCTCGTATGCTGTTATTTGAGGGTTTTGAACACTTTTCAGTTGGCTTGTATGTTGTCTTATGAAGTTCTGAACGCATTTCGTATAATCAACACTATTCGAAGGGTGATAATCCACATTTTTGAAGCCATTGGATGATGTGTTGATTCATGTTTGCCTTTTCGATCGCTTCTTGTAAAACCCGACAAAAGCTTTTATTTTTATTCACCGAAATGTTTATATTCTCGGGGCGGTTCTGCCACTCTCTGACTGTTTTCTTCCACTCTGTTTTCAGCGGCTTGAAAACGCTGACATTTGCGGGTTGTAGGATATGAGTAGTATTAGCAGGCAGAGCATAAAGAATAATGCCGTTTTGATGGCAGAACTCACTGAGTTGCATAGTCATGTGTGATTTGTGCCCATCTATCAGTAATAAAATAGGTCGCTTCAATTGCATTTGTGTCACCCATTCATTGAAGTCATTTGCAATATAATCGAAAAAATTGTCACCTCTCATCCATCCACTATCAGACCTACCTAGGATCCAGTTTGGCGGCATACTCGCGAGTAAGGCTTTCGGTGGCCTAATATAGGGGAATAAAACTAACGGAGGTGCTATTTTACCACTAGCTGTAAAAACCAGAAGAACCGTTATATTATCTTTTTCGTTCCCAATCTTGACCGAATAAACGTTCTTCCATCCGCGTGGAGCTAGCACTTTGCCTGTCTTTGGACAGAGTGAAAAACCAGTCTCGTCTCCATTTAAAATTCTGTCTGGATCTTCCAAAATATCATCGCAGTTGTTTTTCACCAAGTAATTCTTAAGATCAGCAAACCATAGTCTTATCCCTTCTTCGGTTATTACCGCTCGAGCCTTGTTAATACTTTCGGCCTCCCTTGTAGCTATAACGGGATGCCTTTTTAAAAAACTCAGGTACCACTTTTGGCCTGGTCGTCCGTCTTTAAAGAGATTTTCCCTACCAGTATTTTTTAGAACAGTCTCCACCGTATCAAGCAAATCGGTCTTTTTCAAAGGAAAGTCACATTTCGCTAAGCTCACTAACCAATTGGCTATTTTTTCCTCGCCTTCGGTAGTGAGTAAAGGTGGTGGTCCAGTTTTTCCTTTTTTGAATTTGAGGGGATTTTCCGGATTTGTGGTCCTGCATTGTGGTTTTCGGAATTCTAAATTCTCTACTTGCAGTTCTAACGGACATGTTTCCTTCTTGAATTTCAAATAGGGCTCTTTTTAACGCTTCGATATTGAAATCTTTTTTTTTTCTCAATTTGTCTATTTTGTTTTTTTTCTTTAAACTCTTGCAGTTTTTTTGTTAGCTGGCATTTTGTATCTGAAATAAGTGAAAATAGAAAAATTATGATATATGTCGGAAACGGGCCCCTTTTTCGTACATATTGGATATATCCCTTTACCATACTGACCGAAAACTAGAATTGGATGTACCTGTTTTCGACCACAACCGCGAAATTTTTAAATTTCGCGCTTAAAAAGTGTACGAAAACTGGATGGTACAAAGCATCTATTATTGCAAACTAAACAGAAAAATGAGTACGCTTTATATGTGTTCCTATTTAATGAAAAGAGACAAAATAATGTAACGATCTTTTACCGGTTTTCGACCGCCCCGGTCGAAAACTAGATTTTGCTGAATTTGTTATACTAGTTTACCGTACATCCCAGTTTTCCTGTTTTAAGATTAAAAATGTGATGTTTTTCTCAATTTCCACTCAAATAAACAATATTCAACTACATCTACCAAATACACTTAGTGTAATAGAAATAAATTTGAAGTTACTTACTGTTTTGTAAAGCCTTCTTCACTAGTTTTTCTCTTTCC